TTCCTGTCGATCCTAAAAGTCCCATCTTTCCAGCTATAGCGGATCAAAAGCGGACATTTTTCTAATACACAATGAACCTATATATCTCTGTACAAGTACTTACCCGTATCACCTTCGAAAATCAATGTGCAATCTCCACTAGGACCAGTATCTTTGCGTAAAGAAAACTGTACCACGAGTTGTTCTCTGATATTTGTCTGGAATGGATTTAAAATTTTTATCTATTGGAATTGTGGTGAGGTTATTATTTTGACGCCAACGGCGAATATCTCGTTTCAAATTTGCGTTACTAGGTAAGATTACACGAGTCTCGTTGGGAACACCAATATAATTTTGTGTCAAGATATTGTGTGGATTTGTATGGTTATGTGCAGTCTCTTGTTTAAATTCTCATAAAATTTTCTTACTGACTCTAAACGTGGGTTGTCAGAATGATTTTCGTGTTCATCAACCACTTTAATGATAACGTAATTTAAATCTGTATGAAGACGTGCATGACATGGAAATTTTTTTTGAAATTCACATTTCCAATAAATTTTTCTTCATTCTTTCGATCGACAATATATGAAAAACCATTGTGAAGAAGTAATGGAGCGTTTTTGAACTCTTTAGAAACAGTGGTAGACATTTTGAACGATGAATGTAAGATTACCTTGTCTAAAAATTCTTTGCAATTTATACTCTTTCCAAAATTCTGCAAAAATTATATTGTTTATGAACAGTCATCAATTGTACAAAAATTATTTAATATTAGAAATAATAATTAGCTGGAACCTGTTTCATAAACGATTTTAAGGTTTCCATTTAACAGATACTTTAATTAGTTTGAATACATTTTGTAAACTACGTTATTGTTCTTATTTAAAGTATCCGATGAGCGAGTGTCCGATGAACACCTGTCCAAGCGAGTATCAGTCCTGGCGAACATCAGTCCATGCGAGCAACTTGTCATACGAGCATCTGTCCGCGAGCAAATGTCCTCGCGCGCAACTGTCCGTTTCTCAATTCGGATAAGAATCTTATTAGAATTTTATTCAGCATCTATACAAGATTACGCAGGAAAACGAAACAGATTTCCTACGGCTCTTATAAGATTCTGATACGAACTTTATCATAGTTCCTCCATTCAAAACCTTTTAAGCCCGTCCCGTTAGAAACATATACTCTTTTTATAAAAAGTCGATATTGAGTTAAACACATGATCAGATCGCCCACTGGATCCTGATAGTAGACACAATGTTATTTGGTCCTCATCGAAGGGATATGGAGGTTTTTAGAAAAGTTTTCTGAAATCCTTGAAAAGCTGGCTTTTGGAAAACATTTTACTTTCCGATAAAAAGGCAAATCCAAAAATACGTTCAATAACACTAAGGAATAGAGCCAACATTTCTGATCAGAATGAGATGTTTTCCTGCTCTGACTGATGTTCTAATCAAGAATTATGAGAGTTTTACCGGACGCCCCAAAACATGCATTAGATACTGGGACCACGATATCGCGAAAGCGACTTTCATCTTAACACCATTTCGTAGCTGCAAGATTTCTCAGTAATAAAACATCGCAGAAAGTTCAGGAAGGTCTTAAATTGACGCTGACACACGTAGCTGAAGGCTGATAGAGCCCGATTTTTGATATTCGGTCGAGATTTGTGGTTAGAAAAACATCTTTACCACGGTTAATGTGACGTTTTCGAATTTTGGACTTTTGACGCTGACCGTTAGTTTGAAAAGTAAAATATCAAAAATCCGACTGTATTAATCTCTAGCCACATGTGTTTTCGTAGACTTAAGACGAGCCCGAGCTACCAGAGGAAGTAACCCCCTGTATTTTCAAAAAAGTTTTGAATTTTGAGTTGAACAAAAGGAAATGTAAACGAAGGTCTGGTCTAAAAAATGAGACCACTCCCACCATTCCGCGACCATCTCTGAAAAGTTATGAATTTTCTTTGTATAGGTAAAACACATCGAATAAATACCTTGTATAAAACGGCAAATACAACATGTATCAGTATTAATGATAAAATAAATTTATCAAAATTAACAAGTTCATTTTTATCATTGGATGCAGTACATAATGAACGATCAGTTTTTTTTAAATGTTTCCATTCATGCACCATTTGAAGAACTCAATTGGTTACTCTTTTCGCTATTTGTTTGTGGTACATTAATCGATTTAGATAGTGGTCTAACATTTTCATTAACAAATTTTAATTCATGGAATTTTATTGTCGAAGTACCATATTCAGATAAAATTCCACTGTCTATTGAACAAAATTTTAATCAAATTCTCCCATTATTATCGCTTGTATGTCCATCAGGTTCAACAGAAGAAATTACAGCTGAAAATTATCAGTTGTTTATTGCCGATTCTGAAGAATTAGTAGCGAGATTTTTGAAAGCATACGATGACAGAACAATCGATAGAATGTGTAGTATTCGAAATATGATCGACGTACCCGTGGACTTTCCAAGGTTATCTGACGATTATCAATGTCGTATTCAAATATATAATGCATTAAAACGATATGCTAATGAATTGAAACATAATAAAATCATCGAATTATCATTTACAAAATTTCTTTATCGTCGTATTTTGTTTTTCATTGGATTTTTTTATCGTTACAATCAGACAATAAAGCTTTTAGGCTCAACTGTAATGAAACAAATGATTGAAGAAGCTAAACAAATGGTTAACATTGATTTTACCGATGGAAATTTTCGAAAAGTTTATTTAGTTTATGATCCGGAATTTTCATTACACATTTTACATTCAAACTGGAATAGTGTCAATGACGAATTAAAAAAATTATTTAATTATAATGATCCATTGAAAGGACCTGAGTTCAAAAACAAAGATCCCTTTTGTAAATGTTTGTCTTGGTTAATTAATATTCCGTATGAACAATTTGTAGCACAATTAAATGAGACAAAATTTGTTTTGACCGAAAGTTTCATGTACAAATTGTTTCATGTTCATGAACGAAAGTTAACAAGAATGCCATTGATTATCGAAGGTGATACGGGTAAGTACTTGTACAGAGATATATAGGTTCATTGTGTATTAGAAAAATGTCCGCTTTTGATCCGCTATAGCTGGAAAGATGGGACTTTTAGGATCGACAGGAAATCGGATAAACATTCCGACATCGGGGAGATTTGAATTCTATGTCAAGTCCTTCAAAATGACCCCACAATCAACGCGATTTTACTTTGTCCAAATTCAAGCAATGAGTCACACCGTGTGAAAACTAAAATAATTTTAGATAAAAACTGTTTTTTTCGAAATACATCGAAGTATCATTTGATTCTTTTCGTTTGATGTTTTCTGGATAGCCACAAGAACCATAGTCTTGTGGCTATCCGGAAAGCTAGTACGTGGATAATGAGTGTGTGTGAAAAGCTCGAATAATTGGACAAAAAACTCTCAGTGGGACTAGTCCAGCGCTGTAACTAATGATTAGTCAAGGAATAGGTGATCATCTTTCAATTGTCGGCCTCAAGAAAGATATCAGGCTACTCGAAATTGACAAGTCTGACTTGTCTGTCCTCTACGCTGGCAATGGTAGCAGCAAGGTGGATTATTCGTTTTTTCTTTTCAACTTTTAGGTGTTGGTAAAACATTTTTGCTAAAATTTTATTCGTCGTTGTTGAATTGTAAATTGTTGTACGACCGATCTCTTGATATTGCACCTCGAGTGATTGAACACACAAGTCAATGGTTATTACTCACTATAATCAATGGTATAATTGAGCCGGAACAATTCTTATTGCAACAATTTCTCCAACGACTAAAACTAAAATTGAATGAAGTAGCCGCTGCGAATAATGAGATGGAAGAAAATAATGTTATTGAGAATTATGCGGATATCAACGACGAAGTGAATGAAGATTATTTCGACAATGAAAGTTTACAACATCGTGAACCACAACCTTTAGCTATTCCGCCTTTTGCCCAACAAGATGTCATTCAGAATGAGCCGATTGATAATGTATTATTACAAGAAATCAAATTATCATTGCAAAATTATATTTACAATATCGACATATTGAAACAAATATGGAAAACTATATTGACTGTTACACAAGCACATGCATTGAATTTGACTCAACGTTTAATCACTGAATTACATGAACATATAACATCAGAACTGGTTAGAATACCGTTGATTGAACCAACGCCTCAATTACAGAGTTTATTAGAAGAAACTCGATCACAAGCAGTTCAAACAAGTATTCAAATTTTCAATGAATATATCTCCTATACAAAAACAAAACCATTATTCTATCGTTTACTATTACATCCTGGTGTAACAGAAGAACAATTAGAAGAATTTATGTTTCCTATATGTGAATTGGCTAAAGATGTACCTGCTGTTGAATTAGTGGTATTTTTCGATGAAGTGAACACATCGTCTTGTTTGGGATTTTTTAAAGAAATGTTTACGGATCGAACAATGCATGGTAAAGAAATACCAGAAAATATTTTTTTTACAGCTGCTATTAACCCACATACAGAATCAAGTGAATCAAACGACAATAAACAAAATGAAATGATTGTTCATCGTCGACATTATTTAGTTCATCAACTACCGCAATCGTTGGAACATTTAAAAGTTCGTTATGGTACATTGCCAAATAATCAATTATATGAATATATACAACGAAAAATTAAAATGTTTACTATTCATTTAGATAATAAACAGATGCCATTAGAAGATTATGCTCAAGGTCAGTGAAAAAAAAGGTTTCATTACTTCGTGTTAAATTCATGTTTGTTACGAGCTAAAAAATGAATATATGCGTACGTTGACTGTGGTAGCATATATGATAAGTGCTTTTCAACTTGTAACAAGTTTAAATGAATATTGTTTAGTAATGAGCTATATCCACAACCTGGTGAGCGCGCTATATGTTGGCCATCAAACGGCTTGAAAGCTGTATAACAAGAAAACAGTGCCTATATGTAGCGGCCTCATCAGGATGTGAATATGGCTCATTCACTCTCACTTACTTATGCACACATCTTCACCAGCTCGGAAGTCAGTGGAGGCTAGGAATAAAGGTAGAAACGTATTGTCCAGCTTTCAAAGTCGTAACGAGTTTAAGAAAGACGTAACTTCTAATAGGGGACGGACTTCAAGTACGTGAGGTTACTGTTGGACTACTAGCAGGCGACAAAATTTGACCGCAATAGAAGACCATCCTTTAGAACTTGACTTGAGAGACAAAATAGAAGACCAGGTGGTCTTCTATTATTGGGGAGGGGGGGGGTATTTCTTTTTCAACTACTATCGGCGCCAAAAAACGATGAACTTGGATGTTTCTTGAATAATTTTTGATAGCCAAAAGATAGATCTGCGGTTTTCAGTAATTAGAAGCTAGTAAAAAATATCCGTCCTATAGACCACCTGCAGATGGTGTATCTTACCAATCTTTCAACCGTATGGTTGCCAGAGCATGAAGAAAAAATAGTTTTCTGATCCCCGTGGCGTACGATGGCTCGAACCACCAGAGTTTTCAGAACTCGGACATGCCTGATTGAAACGTTCTCGCAGAATGTCCATACCTCCCAGACCATAGCAGATGGGAAGCTAAGATTTGCATAGAATTGTAGAGGATAGTCTAGTGGTTCGAATCATCATACGGGGATAAGAAAACTATTTTTTGTTCATTTTCATCCCACTTGTGAGTTTTCGTTTTAAAGAAATAACGTTGAAACAATGTAGCGATTGTTATGTGAACAATAAAAAAGGAAGTGTAGCTTCAAACAACTGCGTTGTCTGTTATATTTTTTCTATGAATATTAAACTATCTATCATTTATTTAGGTATCTTATGTGATGCGATACTGAACGCACAAGAGTTTTGTGCAAATCGTCTAGGAGAGAATTCTGTTAGTCAACGTGAAATTCAACGATGTTTTCATATTATTGATTTTTTTTGGAAAATGAGATATGATGATGAATTTAATGATCAAGATGAACACAGACCAAATCCTGTTACTTGTATTGCATTATCAATCGCATTAATCTATTATTTTCGTTTACCAACGCGTGAAGATCGTTTACAGCGACGTGATTTAACTTCACCAACACGCGAAGAATTTGCAGAAACACTTTCAAATTGTATAGGTGATTTTGATGACATTGTACAGAATGAATTAGAAAAATTTGTGACAAATGATAATTTTTTAATACCTAATGGTGTAGCGTTAAATCAAGCTGTTCGAGAACATATTTTTTCCATTGTTGTGAGTATCGTTACGCGTACGCCACTGTGCATTATCGGAGCACCCGGTCAATCAAAAACACTCAGTTTTCAAATTGTTTTACAGAATCTTCAAGGACCACAATTATCACTAAAATCTTTTTGTAAACGTCTTCCAGCTGTTGATCCATTCTTTTGCCTTGGTTCTAAATACAGCCGTTCAGAGGATATAGCAACAATTTTTGATCGTGCCATTAAACGCGAACAACAATATCAACAAAATCGAATGGAGACAAGATGTGTCGTATTCTTAGATGAAGCAAGTTTACCCGATGAGAAAAAAATGGTCTTGAAAGTATTACATCCATATTTAGATGAATGTAAAGCAGCATTTGTAGCCGTTTCAAATCAAGCATTCGATGCGGCCAATGCAAATCGTATGATGTGTGTATATCGTTCATTGCCATCAGAAAATGATCAAAAAGTTCTTGCTTACGGATGTCTTGGTCTACATTATTCGAGAGAACATGAACAACAAATAAATCAACGTTTAGAAAGGATTATTACTGGTCTTATCAAAGGATATCGACAAGTTTTACACTCGGAAGAAATTCCACATATATTTCACGATCGAGATTTTATATATATGTTACGTGAATTACGTTTTGAATTAGTTTCAACCAAAAATAATAATGAAAATGAATGGGATATCGGTGTTAATGGAATATCACCAATTAGTTTATTACGATCATTAGAAAATAATTTCAACGGTATTAGTAAAGAACAGTTTCGAATATTAGTAAACATATTTTTTCGTTCGATTCAAAGTGAGTGCAAAGAACAAGATTTTCGTATGCCACAAGAAACACAATATCGTAATACAATATCGATTTTACGTGATTCGATGCAATTGGATTCAAATCGTCGTCGGCTGTATGGTCGATATAAACTTGTTATTGATGAAACAGAAGATGAATCAGCGGCACGTCTATTATTCCAAGTAAATGTTCTCGATCCAAATCCAGACAAAACAACGGTGTTCCGAATGTCTGATTTTGTTGATGATATAAACAATGAATTAAAAAATGTTGAAATACTATCAACAATTAAATTGTGTATGGAAACGGGTAAAACAATTTTAATGATTAATACTGGACGTATTCATGGTTCGTTGTATGATGTATTTAATCAAAATTTTAGTATTATGGCTACAGGTATGAATGAGATAATTTCTCTTTAACATTCCCAGATAATTCATCCGAATTGGATTAAGCGACCAAAATAATCGTAACGTAATCACATCTTTTCTGCTTCTGACTGCAATTTCACAGTTAGGATAGGATGAGTTAAATTTTTTCCTAATTTGTCTAATCTCGTGCTCGACAATCTCTAAAATTTCGATTAAGTTTGAATATATGGTTTGAATTTTATGAGAAAAATATCGACCGTTAAGAAATCACCAAAAATGAAACAGTCATTCCAAAACAATTTGAGGTTGTCGAAAACTGGGCTAATCTTTCACGTGAAAACGTTTGCTGGCAATGTTGTAGAAAAGTACATGGGCTATCAATTGAAAAGAAAACTTTTTTTATAACTCCCAAATTAATGCTTAAATAGCTAAAATATCATCGTTACGGAATCACGCATTTTAGAAATAACTATGTTTTCGCGGGTTGATTTTTTCCCTCAAGAATGAGCAAGAGTTAAATTAAAAATGACCTCAAAACATTTCTCTATTCAATCATATACTAAAAACCTAAACGCTATTGCAACAAAAATAGGAGAAAATGCCAAATGAAAACAACTGCTTTTCAAACTTAGACATAGAAGGCGACCGTTGCGTGGGCTGGCCCTAAGCCAGAGATTTTTGAGGATTATTTTTTACGCTTATTACGATCTAATACTCTTTTTTGCCTCAACGCCTTCTTAGTATCGCCTGGGTCTTCATACACATATTCAATAGGTGAAAGAATGTTTCCTTCTAAGATGTGAATATTACTTTTCATGATGCCATCTTTCTTCTCTCAGGTAACTAGTTTTGTGTGTTTGTTTTTCGTAGGTGATACTCGAAAAATATTTTCAAAAGTGGCAATTGGACCCAAAACACTGGATTGTATCGTGCATGAGCAATTTCAGTGTATTGTACACATCAAACAGAGTGAAATGAAAGATATTCCGGCTCCATTTTTAAGTCGTTTTCAAAAATATTCATTAAGCATTAATGATTTTTATCGTATTCAGTTAGAAAAATTATCGATAAAAGAACAAAATATCATGGATAATGTGGAAGCAAAAGCAAAAACATTCGTTCAACATTATGGTCAACAGTATGTTTATGGTTTTACAGATAATACACTTTATTCTTGTATGTTGTCACTTATAAAAACTCAACAAAAACAGCCAACTCCGCTCGTTACTCAACTGATACAAAATGAAGAAAGTGAGCAAAAGAAAACAGAAAATAATGAAGTAGAAGAGACAGCAGTCAACGAACAAGAACAAAACATAGGAAGAATGGATACAATGGTTTACCTCGGTGTTCACCAGTATTCACAATTGACAATAAAATCAAAGTCCTTGATTGAACAAAATACCACAGATATTCAACAGTGTTTATTACGTTCTGTGATATCACGCTTAATTCAACTTGTAACAGCCGAAAGTTTAGCATTGAAACTACCTTCATTTGAAGATAGTGTAGCACGATGGATATGTACCGATTATTTTAATAAACAAGAACATTTTAATATTGAAAATTTTGTTCATCAATTATTATCAGTATTTAATGATGACTATGAAGAATTGCTTGACGATCAAAATAACAATAATGAGATAGACAAAAATAATTCAATAACAACTAAAGTAACTATCTTTACACGTACATCATCCTACATATTAGGATTGAATAAACAATCAAGTAGTCAGCTCTTCAGTGAAGATAATATGCAAAATAACAATGAAAAAGTCGATATATTAAATCTGGCTGCCGTTGAAAATTCGTAAGTAAACGTTTAGATATATACATCCCTAGATAAATGCATTGCGAGAAAGATTTTGTCTTTTTCGGAAAATATTCATATAGATAGATAAACTGAGATGTCTTCCTTCAAAATCTGTATCTCTAAATATCTTTTGATTAGTTGGAATAGAGATGTGCGGCTTTATCCGTGCTGGACCTAACCAGAAGGTTGGGCACGAACACGAAGTTGTTGGGTACGAATACGATTTTTCTAAAGTTTATCCGACTGACAACTGAAAGATTTAAGTGGAACAACAACAGCATCTTAGTGAAAACATACAAGATTTCAGCTAAAATATATGAAATTTTAAAGCGTTACTTGAGAACATAACGATACCTTGAGGCCCTCAGTCAGAAATCAAATCAAGGTTTTAGCTGAAAACCAAAAAGGAGATAATTTTTAGGTATAAATCGGGAACGGACGAAAGTGAGCGGTATCCGTGCACATCTCTGTTCCCTCACCCCAAACTCGTTAAAATATACTATTATTCTCGTTCTAAGTCCTGTTGATACGTTTTTGAATTCCCGATTTATAGGACAAAGTTTTCTTGTTAAAAAATGAGACCTGATGCGGCTCTATTCGACCTCGCTTTGGAAAGTGATTAGTCTTTTTTCACTACTATCGGCTTCAAAAAGAAGTGAACTCAGATGTTTTTTGAATAACCTTTTAACGGTAAACGATAGAGACCTGCAAGTCTGGCTGTTTGACAGATAAGACTTGGGGCAATCGATCTGTAAAAAGAACTGTCCAAAACCACCACCTCCTGGTTGGTGTACTACATGGGAACGTTTTCCAGAGACAATCGATTCAAAGTATTTCAGAATATCAAGATATACTCTATTTTATCTGTTCAATATCATTCCGTACTTAAGGTTAGTAAAACACTATTTTATTTATACTATACCCTGAAGTTCAATAAAAGTTTTAAAAATCCTCAAAAAATACTTTGGTTTTTGAAAAGGTTTTCTAGACCTTCGTATGCAAAAGAGTACTTTTTACTAATCTTAAGTACAGAATGATGTTAAACGGAAAAAATAGAGTATATCTTGATATTCTGAAGTACTTTAAATCGGTTTTGATTCAGTTATGAACGTTCCAGTTTTACGTGAAAACAGGTAAAAATGAGTTATTTTACCCAATATCGGTTTTCACTAGGTTTCTCGAACTTTCTCGAAAAACAAACTTTTCTGACAAAAATGCGTGTTTTTACACTGTCTACGCGAGATCACGAAGAGGAAATTTCTGAGATATTTTAGAAGAAAAGCGCAATATTGTTTCGTTTCTCGCGAGAAGTCCCCAGGTTTTCTTGGCGAGTCTTTCATATTTCAACTCTTTTCAGATCAGGAAATTAGCCGTACTGTCGCATTTTTATTTTAACACTAACTCTCGCTAAATAAATCAATACCTTACTTTGGAGACATACAAAAGCGCAAGTCTTCAGCTACACGTTAAAAAGGGTCTTTTAAAAATAGACCATTCCAGAATTGTACATTCAAATTTTCCAAACTTCAAAGGGAGAAAAACTTCAAAAAATAAAAAGTTTCTCTTAAAACTTGGATGAAACTTAACTTTTAGAAATACGAAAGGCTCTCTAAAAGAACTGAGCACACCTAGCGAAAAGCAAAACAATCTTGCGCTTTTCTTCTAAAATATCTCAGAAATTTCCTCTACGTGATCTCACGTAGAAAGTGTAAAAGCATGCATCTTTATCAGACGAAACGCAGATTTTTTTTGAAATTTTTGAGTGAAAATTGCAGTGGTGAGTTTTTCAGCGGTAGTCTCTGGTAAACGTTTCTATGTAGTACACCACCCTGTAGGAGATGTGTGGACAAAGTGTCTAAAGACGAATTGACGAATCGCAATTTTTAAGCGTAAAAATGATGCAACAATTCACGTTTTACCCTTATTTTGCGAATTCGTACCGAATTGATGCGAACTGTATC